CCGGCGACGTCTGGTTGGAGACGCTGAGGAAGAAACGATCCCCGTCTCACACGCATAACGAGCCGTCGGAGTCGGAGCCGTTCGAAGCGCCTTTCGTTTACGTCGGCGATATCGCGCCCCAACAGCACAGCAGCGTAAAGGGCGTTTTGCTCAAGGGAGACGAGAGGCCGATCGCGGGTCCTCCGCCTAGTCACGATGACCAAGGATTTGATCCGTGGTACGACTGTCTGTTGATTTCCGGAGAAGATTCGGAAGAATATTCTGATCTCGCGTGTGACTTGCGGACGGACCTGCGCGATCGTGAGCCACCGAAGGAGTCCGCCGACGAGTTTGGGTTTGTGACGGGCTCGCTCGGCGACATGAGCTTACAGCGGGATCCGAGTGATGAGTCGTTTCACGACGAGGCCGCTGACCTTACGACGGGGTCGCGATTTATCGATCTGTACACGTGCGCGTTCGCTTTCACGGCAGAGCTCCAAGCATCGTTCCTGTCGCAAACGACTGATGCGTCTTTTATCGCTCTCAATCCGAGCGAGGGTAAACTCGAGGCACTGCCGCATCTGCAAATGTCGTCCATGAGCAACGTCTTTCGCACGGTCTACGTGAAGTGCGATCGCACTGCAGACATCGGAGTCGTTCAATCCCGAAAGCCAAAGACGAAGACTCCGTCGTTCGTGAAAGCGCTATGGTTATTGTTGATGGGTTCAGCCGACTCAGCCGACCAGCGCGAGCCTCGGACCGCTGCGGCGTTAGCCGTTATGATACACCTCGCGGCTAAACGCTTAGACCACGCAGCCGGAGCTCAGGGCATATCGTCGCTGAAAGCATGCAAGAACGTTCAGACGTTACAGTCTAACTCGTTCGCGGACGCCAAGGACTTTGTTGTCGTGGCGGCAATAGCGGGCGGTCTGTTTGGGCTTAATGTGCAGATTTGCGCAAAAAACGTTGTCTATCGTATCGTAAACCCTTCTTACGGTAACACGTGGCCCGTGGGGTTTCTAGACTTGGTCAATGGAAACTGGGAGTTAAATTTGCCTCACGACGCCAAATCGCAACGCCGAGGCGGCGAAGAGAAACTAGAGACCGCGTACGCGAGGCTTCATGATCTTCGCACAACTCCGGTGCCAAAAGATAACTATTGCGGATTTCACGCTGTCGTGAAACTGCTTAATGGACAACACAAAGAGAAATGCACCGAAAAACGTCGCAAAGACCTAGTCGCTACGACCTCTCAATTTATCGTGGATAATCGAACGCGAGACGACATCGCTGCGATCTTACAAGCCCAGAACATGACAGCCGAAAACTTCGGGGAAGTTTTACTACAAACCAGGCGATGGCTAACCGTACATGACCTCAAATATGTACTCGAGGCGCATAACAAACAGCTGGAGTTGCTAACGGCGACATCGTTCCCGCTATATCGATCGGATCAGAACGTTGCTTACGTCCTTCATAAAGACAATCACTATATACCGTTATTGCCTAAGGCCGAATGAGCTTGACGGTTTGCTTTTCGCAAATGATGCACGAGTGTGTTACCTTTTAACTGCTTATACTGTATACTGTCTTTATGATTCCAATAAAAAAAACACATCGTAAACATGGTTTGTCTTTATTGGTTCCCTCTACACCATGGCATACATCGGTTACATTGTTTCATGGCATACATCGGTTACATTGTTTCATGTCAGTTTAAAGATGTAGGAATTGCTGTCTCTCGCAGCGGCTGACCCATCTCGTAGCTCAGTCTTATCGCCATATCCGTTTCTCCGATCAAACATAAGATCACGCACGTCACGAAGGCCATTTTGTCTTTGAACGTGTAGATTATAGCGTTCGCTAGCTCATAGCATCCCATTGCGCTAATTGCTGGCAAAGACGATAGCCGGCCGTAGCCTTCGAACAGCTCCCATTGCATGAACAATTTGAATCGATGCAGTTTGGCGGAGTTGAGCCGGCTCAACAGGAGGGTCAGGATTTCGCTCTTGAACGATCTTTTTGCTACCAGAAGAATGCTCAGCTCCTCGATGTCGACCACGGAATCGTCTATGCATTGGTCGACACTTCGCCGGCTCACTCGGTCGACCGTGTTCCAGGTTGTCGATTCTCCGAGGACCTGATACATTTTCGTAATAACGACCTCGGGGCGGCGTTCGTCGCGAGACAGACTCTCGGTGAACGCGGAGAGTGTCGCTCCCGCTTTCCGGGAGATGAATCTCTCTGTCGTCTTGTTTATCAACATGTCGACGAGAGCATCGAAAACGCCGGGCTCTGTCGCTAAGTGATTTAGCAACTTAAGCGTACTCGAAGCGACGGGCGGCCCTTTTCGCGTTTCGAATTCCACCAGCGTTTCCATTGAGGAAGAGGACCTCGATTGTCTCAGTAGTATCAAATACACAGACACAAAAATCACACCAATGCGATCGATCGAAATAAACACAGCTTTTTATTTTTACAATGACCCAAAATGGTAAATGTTTTAAAAACAACACAGACAGATCATACGACAAACACGTTTTAGATGTCCAGAGGATCTGGACTGGTGTGGCTGTAGTACTCGCTCCGCGCAGGCGACTCGTCGTTTCCCCACTGATGATGATGAAGC